GCTTTTGGGTGTACAACCCACAGTGATTGCAAATATAGTGTTACTTTCATGACCATTGCTACAGTTCATCAAATGTTGACTCCTGCTAGGTATGAAGTTGATACTCACATTAGGTGTACTGAGGAGAACAGCTGTTCATTGCATTTGGACTTAACTTTGGTTCTGGTTTGAGGGATGTCCTAGGGTTGTGGGAGAAGGAGCTGTGTCAGCGTGAAAAGATGGGTGGTTTGAAGAAACATTGCTGTGCGTATAAGGTAAGTGTATACAGTTCTAAGCTTCCTTTCCCCCTGTATTTTAACAAAATTGCCTGTAATTGACACTCCCATGAGCTTCAGTGCTCTCCATCTGGAGCTAAGAGCCACTCTGAGGTTAGACATCCCTTTCCAGCTTTGAAAACATCAAAGCAACAATATCCAGCCTAATCTTGACAATGAAGAGCCCTCAAATGCTCTGGGGCTACTAATAGAAAATGGCTTTTGGACGAGAAGATTTGATCTGTGTGGCAAAGCACTTTTAGGGGCTTATGTAAAACTAAACTGGATTTATACAGAAATAATGCAGTATAATGATGCTTTAAAAAAAAAAATCTAGTAAATTCCAGAGAATGGCCAGATTTTGGAACTCAAAAAGGCTGCCTTCTCAATGTTCCACTTGTTTACTCTTTGTACCTCACTGCCTTCAATCTTTAAACCTCCGCCTTAGTCTCCAAAGGCCTGTATGTCGTCATGAGGTGGGAGCAACTGCTTCACTGTGATCTAGAAGACCCACAGACAAGCATTCATAAAAACTCCTGGAAGGGACTCTTTTTAAAGCTGCTGTTTACCAGAGTTCTCCCTCTTGGGTGAAGACATGGCTAATTAACAATAAAATCCCAGCGTGTATGATTCTTGCATTTCGGGGTTGAAGGCAAAACCAGTTTTCTTGCCCAGCAGGCCAGAAAGTGGGGTAACTAAGTGGGGTGGGCCTAGCAGGCAGGAGCCAGCATGGTTGTGCAGAGAGCAGATGGTGAAGACACAGTCCCTGCCAGGCACAGGCTGCCTCTACTGACCACCTTTAAGTAATCACCTCCCTAACGAGGTCTCCATATAGAATCCTCTAAAAGTAGACTTTTTAATGGTGAAGCAAGGAGAGCCTAAAAGGTCAGGGACATCAGAACTCACATAGCCGTTTATGAGTACAGTGAGGAGCTGTTTAGCTCCTTCTGACTCCTGGAGTGGTAGATAGGAAGGGCAATTCTTTTATGTGTATGTATGTAGTCATTCTGTAAAACAGTTAAAGTAGCTTGATTATGTGTTCCAGTGCAGAGGACTCTTTATAAAACATGCTACTGTGTCCTTTTACTGTGAATAGGATTGTAACTTTCACATTAAAGGAGTAAAATAAAGGATAAATTAAACCATTTTATTTAATTTATTAATTTAATTATTAAACTGTTTACCATTCAGTGTGCAGATCTAGAACTCTTAATGCAACAATTTCCTCACATATAGAAACTATCATACTACTTCAGACCAAAGATCCATTTGGCTCAGGAATTTTCGTCTGATGCTATGGTGGAGGCTATGCTATCTGCTGCACAGCCTTTTGGATGTTAGCATGCATACATAAGAGGTGATTCCCTTAGTCACTTCATGTTTCTATTATGATAAAAATAGTTCCACCTTTCCTGCACTGCTTTTTCTTTTCTGTCTTAATTGCCTCTTGGCGCAGTGAATTCCATAGTCAGGATAAAACATTTCTTGAGCATTTACTGTGTGCCAGGCACTGTGGTAGGTGCTATCATATATTCAGTTTTTCAGTGCAATTACAGAAATACTATAGAGAACAACTGATGGAGGGAGGATAGGAAGGAAATGGGAGGCTGAAGGATGGGATGCCCTTTCCAGAATGGGGAAGGCAGGACCAGTAAACCTAAAGTCTGCATTTTCTACTTTTTCAGGGGAATCAGGTAGAGATTAGGGTCAGCTGCTAATGGTAGGTAAAAATACTAGTAAAATGTAAAAATGAAGTGTTATCAATATTAAGCATTAAAACCAGCCCACTTCCTTATAGCCACTTTGGGCTTATAGATGGTTGAACATGTGAGTATGTTCCACATGTTTGTGCTTGATAAAGGTGGCAGAATAAAGATTTGAGCTGGAGTCTGCATCCTTAAGATGCTCAGTTCTGGGCATATCCCATCATCCATTGTCATCTTGTGATGCCTGAGAAATACAGGTCCTCTGTGAAGTCATTCTCCCACCACCTTTATCCTCTTATTTAAATCTGAGGGATTCCTTCCAAAGATAAATTTAGAAATTGGATTCCTACCCCTGTCTAATCCCATAGATCAGGGACATTTGTTTGAGGATCTTTAAATTTTTAATATCATCTTAAAAGCTGGTTAAAGGAAATATCTGTGATTTACAGAGATGATGGAATTTATAACACGTCCTCCTTAGGAAAACCTGAGATGTTATAGGAACAAACTCAGTAGTGAATTTGGAATTTCCTACATAACTGTATTTTAAAGGGGGAAGCTGGGTCTGTACCCTGGAAATGATACCGATGGGAAAAGACTAACTCAGTCTTAACAGATATTTATTCAGTATGAGATATCTGGGTTAATTCATGTAAGACAAGAAAGTATGGAATTAAACACTTAATCTCTACATATCATTTGGACTTACATTATTTTATTGTTACAACCTAAAACATTTACCTTTTTTACCTCTTGTAAAGATACCTGGGGGAGCAAAATTCCCAAAAGTCAGAGAAGAAAGTAGAGGAAAGTTTCTGTATAGTGGACACTGGGTATACGTGGTAGGCAGAATAAGGTCATACCTAAGGTTTAGTAAACTAGTAATGAGCTTTGCTGGAGATTATTAACCATAGGCAGTCTGCTCTTACTCTCATAAAAGGAATAGGAACCAAAAGGTCTCAAAGCCTAGGGGAATAACACTTTTGGACGTAGAAGCCTTTTCTTCTCCCTTTTCACCTGAGAGTTAAGCTTCCTGGCACAGCCTCCTAAGCATAGCACAGCTTGATGGCTAACGGAAATGTAGAATGCTACATTTATTAGCTTCCTAGCCCACATTTGTTAGGGACTGTGTCTTCTAAATCACACCTTTTTGTGTGCTTTGGGAGTGGGAAGTGTAGGGGCTTCTTGCTTAGGACTGATGCCTACTGCTTCTCAACTTCCTGTGCAGATAGAAGAGTCATCTCTTACACACTGTAGGCCTACAGTATGAGAAGGGGCCTAAGCCTGTCTTGTGGACACAGGAGGAAATTAAGGGTAGACATAGAAAACAAAGGTTCTGATTCACCACTGGGTGATGGTGGACCCCACAGAAGTTACCCATCTCCTCATGCTTCGCTTAAGGTTCTTATCTCCCAGAAGTGTCAGGATGCTCCAGGTGAGAGACCAATGGAGAATATCCCTGGAGTTAGTATAATGGCTAAGAAAGGTTAGAGCTGTGAAACAATTACTTCTAGGAGGAGATTTGAACTGAAGAATATAAGGAGCAGTAGAGTTGACTTGAGATCTCAAATTGACATGTAGATGATAATCAGTCAAGATGCCTTTTCACATTTATATGGATGCTCTGGCCTGAAATAAACAGAAGGAACGTAGAAATGACTCCAGGCTTGAGGAAAAGCAATTTTAGAAGTTATACCCAGCAAAGAATGGACTACAGCAGTTGTTCCATACACAGGGTTCCAAGGTCCCTAGGAGTTCATGAAGATAGTAATGAGAAAGATGAACTCATTGTAATATGAGCTTCATTTATGCATTTCATATTACAATTAGCTGATTTTTTTTTTAACTACCTTCAACAAGGCCTTCTAGGCTTATCAAAACACTGGATATGAGTTAGGTAATGTAATACCAGCTACCACATGCTGATGAAAAGCCCTACTTGATTGCTGCCATTACCTGGGGGGGTTGGATGTGATTGATGGACTATATGATGTCAACAGGTGGCCATGGCTGACCTGAAGTGAGATCATCCAAAACATGATTAATGTTAGACTTGAGTATAGGGTGACAATCACAATTAGATTAAATTGTAGCCCGTGGTGGTGGGATGCTTGAGGTCCACTGAAGTAAGAGAAGCAGTGTGCTGAGCCCTTCCCAGCCTGAGCTCTGAAACTCTAAATAAACCACATCACTCATTTCTGTCCTTGAAAGAAAGAAAAAGCTGACATCATCAAACCATAATCAGTTATCCACCTTTGAGGCCATGCCCTGGAACCCCTGCATGTGGCTCTTCCTCACAGTCTGCATGGGTGGCCTAAGACTCTACATAAGGCTTCTTTGTCCTGTCTCTCCTCTCCTAGTTAAACGGTGGAATACTGGGAACTAGGGTCAAGTTCCCTTCTTGGGTTCTTAAAACAAGAGATTAAATACCAAAAGAAAAGAAAGGAAGGAACCACAGGACAGACACAAGCACATGAGGTCTTTGGAGTAAGTCTGGGCAAGGCTCACCTTAGATTTAGTTGGCTGCCAACTAGTAGTGTTCCAGAGGAGCTGGGTGCTGAGCTTTCATTGGTTTCTGCTGTTTAGGCCATGGCTTCCAAGCCTCATGTTACCACTGCCCTTGCTCTGTAGGAGGTCCAGGAAAACTCAACATTTGCAGCAGCATTCAAAAAAGAAAAAAATGATAGCCGAGTTCCTCTTAGTTTGATGGACCCATTGAACATTTGATCATGGTTGGCAAAAGATTCTGAAGCATATTGACTACTTGTGTTACCCATGGGAGGGAAGAATTGGGGCTAAGTCCATAATTGGCATATTTGCTATCTGTCCTTTCAGTTGACTGATTATTTCAGAACTGTGGTGACAGTTTCTGTTTTCTGGAATATTTCAGGAAGGGAAAATGTCTTTGCACTCGTTTGTATGTGCATATCTGAGCAACTTTAGATTTTTCTGTCTCTTTCCTTTGCTGCTGCATGAGTTTCTGTCCACATGCCCCTTGCACATCCTCACCCACCCTGTTCTTCTCCTTTCTCCTTCCCAGAGCCAAGCTATGAGAATTGTTCGGACGGTAGGGCAGGCCTTTGAGGTCTGCCACAAGCTGAGCCTGCAGCACACGCAGCAGAATGCAGATGGTCAGGAAGATGGAGAGAGTGAGAGGAACAGCAACAGCTCAGGGGACCCAGGTAGGTACTGCGGCTTCGGGGATGTGGGTGGGGAGGCAGTGCACACAGTAGGCTCCGGTGGATCACTGCCCCGAGCCCCAGGCTGTGAACTCATTTTAAGAAACATTTTATTTTTTCCGTTTCTCTCTATATTCTAGATTCTCTTTAAGGAACATGTATTACTTTTATAACAGAAATTAAAGATGTTTAAATTATTAAATGAGGAAGTATTTAAACTGGATATCAGGGAGAGGTAGAGCTGCTATGCTCCCAAATCTGACTTCAAAGAAAATTTCAGTAAAAAAGCACCCCCATAAAACAAATTACAAAGAACATAAATTTATAATTACCTAGTTTGTTTTATTAAATTTCTAACTTCTATAGTTCTATAAGCCCTCAATGTGGATAGTATTTTGATATCCCCAACTTTCAAGCCTCATTAAAAGTCAGGAAAGAAGCCGGATGAGGTGGCTCACGTCTGTTAATCCTAGCACTTTGGGAGGCTAAGATGGGCAGATCACCTGAGCCCAGGAGTTCAAGACCAGCCTGGCCAACATGGCGAATCCCTACCTCTACTAAAAATACAAAAATTAGCCAGGTGTGGTGGTACATGCCTATAGTCCCAGCTACTTGGAAGGCTGAAGCAGGAGAATTGCTTGAACCCAGGAGGCAGAAGTTGCAGTGAGCCAAGATTGTGCCACCGTACTCTAGCCTGGGCTACAGAGCTAGACTGCCTCAAAAAAAAAAAAAAAAAAAAAAAAAGAAACAATAAAAGAAAAAAAAAGAAGTATGGGCAAGAAAAAGAGCAGGTAAAAAAAATATATTGCTTGTGTTCATATTTAACATGGGAAACCCAAGAAAATAAACTGAGAACTATTAGAAATAATAAGAGAATTCAGCTAGAAAGTCAAAGTTAAATAAAACATACAGATATATCTGTGATTTTCATATATTCCAAGAACAGCTGGTTAGAAGTCATAGTGGAGGAAAAAATCTTTTAAAATAACAATTAAGAAAATAAGATACTTATGTTTCCTCTGAAAAAAATCTTAAACAAATGGAAAGGCATGGCATATTCTTGGATGGGAAAGCTCAATGTCATAAAAATGTTAATTCTCCCTTTGTTAATCTATAAATTTAACATGACAATACAGATTTCTAACAGCAGAAGAGGCACCACAATAAGCTACAGTATTCAAAACCCATGGGATATAGCTAAAGCAGTGCTCAGAGGAAAATTCAAAGGTTTAGTTATTTACATTAACAGATGACAAATCATGAAAGTCAAATGAATTAAGCATCCCACTCAAAAAGTTAAAAAACAACAAAAGAAACCCTAGCCTGCAAATGGCAGCATTGCAAAGTGGCTCAGAGAGAAGACCCTTGCTACGCATTGTAGCTGCACCAGTCGCTGCCTGTGCAATCTTGGGCAAGTTCCATAACCTCTCTGAGCGTTAGTTTACTGTTTACTCTTCTGAAAAACAGAAATAGCAGTACTGTGTACTTCAGAATTATTGACATAATTAGATAAACTGATACTTTTAAAATGCCGAGCCTGGTGCTTGGCACAGAGTATGCACCACATACATGTATGCTATTATTATTTTTAAGTAAATATGTGAAAGTTTAAAAAACAAGAATAGAAAAAAATTCTGGAAAAGATGAATGATAGCAGAGGAGGAGTGGCTTTCTACTTATGAAAAGACATGATAAAGCTATAACAGGTAAAACTGTGCTTATAATAGGTAAAACACATGTTCAAATAAGTGCCCGAATGGATCAGAATAGAAACTCATATACAGACCCAGATGTGTTTGCAAATTTAGCATATGATAGAGGGAGAATTCCTATGGAGAAAAATGTGGAAATCCTTATTAAATTTGAAAATTCATATGCCTTTTGACCCCCAAATTTCCTTCAAATTCGCTTCTAAGAATTAATCCTAAAGGTAGACCCATACAGGTATGAAATGATTTCGATATAAGGTTACATAGCAAAGAATTTGTTATAGAACCAAAGGATCAGAAACAGCAAGAGGAGACTTTTAAATAAATTACAATATGGTATGAATAATGGAATACTGCACAACCGTTAAGAAGAACGAGTTAGTTCTCTATGAACTGATTTAAAGCCATCTTCAAGATATGTTGCTTACTTAAAAACGTCAAAGTTTGGAATTGTGAAAAAAGGAAAAAAAAATAGAATTATGGGTATGACATGCTACCAATTGTATTAAAAATGCATAGGTTTAAATGTGTGTGTATATGTAGGTATATATGTGTACACATGCAAGGACACACACACATGTCTTATGCATGGAATATCTCCAGAATAGTACACAAGAAACTGGTAACTGTGGTTCATCCTGGGAAAAGGAACTGGGTGGCTGAGGTGGCAGGAAGATTGACTTTTCACTGTGCTTTTACAGCCTTTATACTTTGGATATATATTAGTTATAAATCTTCAAAACCTGACATTATTTTCATCCTAGTGCTCAGTTTCTATGTGACTACAGGGAATTACTTTACTTCTCTTTTGGCTTACTCATTTCTGTTAAGTAATGACATTCTATTACTAATGACAGCATCTCAGTGATCTTGACTCATAAAATATGATCACACAGATGGAGCCTTGCATTTTGTCATGTACCCTTGGCCAGTCTCAGTTTATAGCAGGCCATAGTACTAATGTGATGTAAACCTTAAAATTTTTCCATCTCTGTGATCTAGGGCTTAGAGATAAAACAAAGAGATAGAGGTAGACTTTGGCAAATATTTTATGTATCTCCGCTGGTCAATTTTTAGAGCGTAATGGTGACAGTTTCCTATAAACCTAATATGGAGGACACATCAGACCTCTAGCTGGTTGCTTAGCTCAAAGAACGAGGCCAATCTGCTCATTTCTGAATTGGAGGATTTGCCGTAAGAACTGCTAGCTGGAGAAGATTGAAGTCTTACATTGTTAACTCTTCTTTGGTCATGTCCATGCCCTGTTGGTGGCCTAGTTGGCGGAGAGCCACATCCTAACTCTCAAAAGCTTTTAAACCCACAGTCACACTGGCAGCCAGTATACACATGTACAAAGAAAGGTTAACCAAAAATGGAAACGGTATTTTCTCCGATGAAGACACCTGTTCCTGGAGTGAAAGGGGTTGGACACAGAGAGGGTGCTCAGAGGTTGAGCGTTTGAACACTTATTATCACAGAACAACCGTCAGAGGAATTTAATCTAATCTCCAAGTACTTAATCAGAACCTGTCACTCAGCTGCTGGCCACAGAGGTCAGGGTTATATGGTCTGGCCAGGTGGAGAGAACCACCTGGATAGCATTTTATGTAAACAACACCAAGGGCTAGATCTTATTTCCCTTTTGCAGCGATAGCTGCTCTCGCCTGCCACTTCTGGCCCCTGCAGTAGTCTGCTGGGTGGAGTGGGTTTGATGTGGTTCACAATTCCCTGGGGACTCAGTGGGGATTCCATAAGGATCACTTCCTATCCTTTTCTTTCTGTCTTACCTCCCTCACTCCTCCCTTGTTCCCTGAGCTCTTTCCTGCCCTGAACATATAGTAAGTAGCATGGACTTTTCAGCCACAGTCAACACTGTTCCCTCTGCCACGGGTCCCTGCCTTCACCTCCATGCAGACATCTTACTCATCCTTCAAGCCCAGCACTGTCTTCTGGGAAGCCTGACTTTCAGCTCCCACTCTCATTCAGAAAATTTAAACACTTTTTTTCTGGGTTCCTGTGTTTTCTTCACTCCTGGCTGATGCCGTTAACATTAACATTTAGTCCACTGTGTACCAGACATATAGCATAGTGTCCTCTGTCTTTAGTGGAGTGTGAGCTCTGGCAGGGTTGGGACTTCCTAGCACAGTAAAGACTTGTTGAATAAACTGACAAACACAGTCAGTGAGTGTGGCAAGGAGTACATATGTTTTAGTCATTGTCAACAAGTGTTTGTTAAATGCTTACTGTATGCCAAAATGAACAGAGATTAAGTAGAGATTTCAACTTTTAAGCGACCCCCTTTTGACGAGGAATGATGACACTTGGTGTCGGGGGAGCAGGTAGAATTGAGGTGAGACTGGGAGGCTGAGCAGAGTATTGATGAGAAGGTGGTGACAGTGACCATGGCTACAAATAGAGGCCAGCGTGGTCACACTCCTTGATTATAACAGATGGTCAGCTTGGAAATAACAGGCATACCTCTTTTATATTACCTTTTTGGAGATAGTTTTCCAAAAATCACATTACTAAACGTGAGACCTCAGCTGCTTGGCATCTTCCGTATACTACTCTTCCTAAGAAAAATGGAATTGATATTCTACATGAGGAAACATCTGGGTCCATTCTAGGAAAGCCCATCAGGCCCAGTATAGCTTCTTCAAGGTTTAAGATGTCCAACAGAGCGCTCCTCTCTGCAAGGAGATCAAGCATGGGCTGGATGTGTTAAATAATATGGGCCTCCCTGCAGAGAAAGGGAGACAGCAAGGGCTCTCCCCTGCTCGTGTAGGTGAGGAGAGGGCCTGTGGGGTGATGGAAATTGTTTAGGGACATACAGAGCAAGAGAGAGACAGAGAGAGAGGCCAATTTTAAAGAATTGGCTCATGGGCCTATAGAGGCTTGGTAAATCCAAAATTTGTAGGAGAGGCAAGGCAGGCAGGCTGGAGATCCAGAGAAGAGTTGCAGTTTGAGTCTGAAGGCCAGCTGCTGGCAGAATTCCCTGTGCCTCCAGGTAGGTCGGCATTTACTCTGTTAAGACCTTCAACTTGGCTGGGCGCGGTGGCTCACGCCTGTAATCCCAGCACTTTGGAAGGCTGAGGCGGGCGGATCACCTGAGGTCAGGAGTTCAAGACCAGCCTGACCAACATGAAGAAACCCCGCCTCTACTAAAATTACAAAAAATTAGCTGGGCGTGGTGGTGCATGCCTGTAATCCCAGCTACTCAGGAGGCTGAGGCAGGAGAATTGCTTGAATCCAGGAGGTGGAGGTTGCAGTGAGCCGAGATCGCACCATTGCATT